TATATACTGAAATTCAGATTCTGGCAGAAATTAAGTGACATCAAGACTAAGGAAATTGGTTACCAAGGCACACATGATCCAAGTTGTCCATTATGGTGCGGAGATTGATAACTTCCCATAATAAAAACATGTCTACTAGAAACCTGCAGACATGTGTATTAGAATTAAACTCTTCAGGTAAAGTGTGGATTGGACACCTTTATGAGGTGCAGGATTGGACACCCTTGTACTAAGTAAATGCTGCTGTTTAGAAACATTGATTATATTTAACACACCATGCTCTCCATTTGTAAGCAAATGTTGCAGATGTCACACATCACCCAAAAAGATTTCTTCTCAGCTGGGTGGCTGTTTGATACTTCTGGAGACTGTTCTTTTGGCATGTTCACCTGCTTCTCATAACCCTACACAACCCCTGAAAACATCTGTTACAGTAAACATAGTCAGTATTTTCCCCTTCAAGGCTGAGTTTTGTCGTTACCCCATTGGAACACAGGCCTCAGCCAACTGGAACAAAATATGGAGATGTGTTAGTGGACACACCTGGTGCATAATTGACCTTTGTGACCCTGGGCGTTGTTGGCATAGATCAGGAGAAAATGAAAAAGAACAAAACTCAAACTGAAAATACAGCTTGTGATTTATTCCATCATATGATATTTAATCAAATAATGCATTTCAATGCAAGTTGATATTTTTATTGTGTAGAAAACACAATAAATGCAGTAAACACTATTATTGCATTCCTGACATGGGTTAGACCTTCAGTCCTATGGCATTAATAAATCATTGAAAACATCAACTGAATAAATGCACCAAATTAAAAAGACTATGATTACCTATTGATTATATAATATGAGAAGAGGAGATTGTAAATCCACATTTTTATATTACTGATTGGTCCATTAACTGTACCCAAAATTATCTATCAGTACTCACAAATTATTTAACCGTAAAATCAATTTTGCAAATTCAGAAAATATTACTGTTCGAAAGTTTGTCAGTAAGCTTAGAATAGAAATTACTACTTTTATTCAGCAAGGGTGCATTAAAGTGACAGAATTTTACATAATTAAAAAGAAAAATAAATAACTCAAATACATACATGCATACATACATGTTGTTTTATTTTACATCTCTATTCATCCATGAATCCTGAAAAAAAAGTAGTAAGCAATACAACTGTTTTTAACTTTCACAATTGTAAGAAATGTTAACCATATTAGCATATTTGAATTAGAGCCCTGGACGGGCCTCAAATTTAGACCCTGGCCTGAGACGCTCAGGCCCTAGCCCGGCCCGTGTCCGACAGCTTATCAGAATTACCGACCCGAGCGCGTCTTTTTTTTCCCCTTCTCCCAAAACAGCTTATACTACTGTTTCAGCTATTAAAAGAGTTCAGTTTTGTATGTAATAGCAAAGTGATTATATTTCGTTTCGTTTTTTTTATGAAGTTAATTTTAAAAAATGTTTGGAGCTTTTTTTTTGTTCGCTAAATATAAGTTTTAGTTTTTTTTTTTTAAAGTAACGACCAAGCGGCCAGCGGCAGACAGTGAGCCTACTGTATGTTTGATCAATTTAGCCTTCTCAAATCATCACGACTTGCCTAAAATAAAATCTATAGATATAAAACAGTTCAAGCATATAACAATGTTTAAACGTTAAACCTAGATAAATGTGCGTTATATCCAATAGTTTGTGCGGACACGCTTTGCAGGACATGGAGGCGCCAGCGCGATCACTTGCATTTTTTTCAGTGGATACGGCATCATTTTTGATCATAAAGGTAAGAGTAATACATCATTCGTAGCTGTAACGGGTCTACTTTTATTTGTGTGCACTAACACAATATCAACAAAACGTTGTGCTTTTATAAAATAAAGAAAAAAAACATGCTGCGCTTTCTGCCGTCCCGTCTTTAACAGGAGCGCTTCACAAAAATGAACCGAAACTCAGCGACTACATGCCTCACAGACATGATAAATATATCTATATAAAGCTTTAAATTACTACTTAACAAAATAAAACAAATCGAAAACAAAAACTCTTTCATTATAATCATAATCCGTAAAGATGCACTTCTCTCTAAAGGCGCGTCTGAGGAGATGGCGAGTCAGGATCGGCAACTTCATCCTTGCGACACCGACTCAGAAAACACTAGTTTATTAGTAAATAACTCAAATATCTCCTTACTATTTCCCCCGTCACATTTATGGTAATTACTTTTGCCGGTGTTTTGCGGCAAACTTAAGCCTATTGCATGCATTTGAACCCAGAACTCTTCAGCTGCGCTGACGGCACGCAACATACTGCTGCTGGCGGGACAATAAACACCATCGAGCCGCTAGCACAGTCTCGTGTTGTTTTCACCAGCGCGACAATTTTTTTCATCACTAATTAATGGATGTCTAAAATATAAAAGTCCGCGTCTGAACTATGACGTGAAAATTGGCCAGAAGCCCGGCCCGAGGGGCATAAAAAAAGTCGGGGCCCGTCGGGCCCGGGCTGAAATGCAGGGCTCTAATTTGAATGATCTCTGGAGGATCATGTGACACTGTACTTTGCCATTACAGGCATACGATACATTTTAAAATATCTTTAAATTTAAAATGTAAATATATTTGACTGAATTCATTAATTTCATTAATTACAAGTGTTCAACTGATTAACATAGCGTTTTAACCTGTCTGTGGCTTGTGTAATTCATAAAGTGCCAATATGTCAATGGAGAACGCTGGGAAATAGATTTTTGCAGCAGGCAGTACAGTTGATGTGTTGTTGACTCTTGTCTGTATGTTTACAGACATCTGCTCTTTTCCTTTGCAATTCCTTCAGACAGATGGTGCGATGGTGACTTCACAAGGTGGAACTGTGGTCACGGAGTCACACACCTTCTGTTTTTGTGAATTTATGTATGCACACATGCATGTGTGTGTGTGAACCTTCTTATTCTCACAGCAATAATACATGCTATTCAGTTCATTTAACAGTGTCAGACTTCATCGAGCCACTTCTGGAAAATGTGACAAAAAATATAAACCAAGGAGATGTGTGTCTTAGGGTATCTATTGTAGTAATGTACTGTGTGTATCGTGAACTTAAGGATGATTGTTCCAAAAAAAAAAAAAGATATATATATTTAGATGCACTTAAAAATATTAATGTCATTGTATACAGTTGAAAAGAGAAGTTAGTTTTGAGAAATCATTTGTTTGCAGATGCCACTTTCTTTGATTTTTTGTCGTTGTCATTTTTGCGATGAGTTTTAAAGGTCACACAGGTGTCACAGTAGCCACAGATGTATTTCACATGAACTGTGAACATGTTCCACTAACGTTTGACAGAAACAAACAAAAAAAGTATCTACATTCTTTTGAAAATGTAATCTTTCTTTAAAAACACTTAGACTGAGCAGCACTGTGTGTGTGTGTGTGTGTGTGTGTGTGTGTGTAGTTCTGTGATACCCTTCCTGTGCTCGACCTGTGACTTGCCTGTCAGAGCTGTGGTTTGATAATTCTACACTTGCGTTGGACTTTGCTTCAGGAAAATGATTCTGATGTTCAGTGGGGAAAGATCTGTGTGTTTGATATGGTAAATAATTGCCTGTTTTCGTACATTGTCATATTAATCTGTGCAAACATGCTATCAAACAGGTTTTCAAATTCAAATTGGAGGTTTCTTTCATTTAAATGTACCAGGCTTATCTTTTACTCAAACTGAAAAACTTAAACTTGAAACCATTAAAAATATCTATGTTGACTGGGGAGGAGGAAAGAAATAGAAAGAAAAATGGATTTGTGTAGCAAGTGCACTTTGCTGTTTTTTCCGCATCTTATGTCGAGCTCTGTGTTTATAAAGTCCCCATGAAATCAGAATTAAAGTTTTTTGGGTGTTAGTATCAATATGTTAGTCTTAAGGTTATCTATAAGGCAGTGTGCTCAAAAACAGTGACAAAATTCGCATTTAGAAGATATAAGCATTCAATGCTTGCAGTTCGTCACTTCCGCCAAAACGTCTCAACGATTTTTTTTGACGTCACATCGTACTTCAGCTTCTCATCAAACTTTCTGTCCAATCAAATGCTCTCTAGAATCCGAAGCGCCCGCCCCCTACACTATAAAATAGACGCTGAAGCCGCGGCTGAAATCGGTCACTTGTCCACAGAATTAGTATTTACTGTATGGCACGTAGTGCACTATATAGGGGACCGGGAACGATTCAATCAGTGTAAATTATGCTTTCCATTGAGGGAAAAAAAGAAGTCTGGTTTCGCGCTGTGTCACGCTAACCACCGCACCGCACACACACTCTGCTCCGGTCCAGAGACACGATAGCACAAAGCGGATCATATGCGGCTCACATGCGCGAGTCGGCGCAGACCACAAAATGTATCGCAGCTATTTGAATTCTACGCAGAATGCTATATTTTATAACAATATGGATGAGATTGTGACTGGCATACCCTGTCAAATGCGGCTTTACGGAGCTCAACGGCTCTGAGCGGCTCTAGCGCAAGCTGTGATATAAATGACCGCTATTGGCTATTTTAAAAAGGGGCGGTGCTGCTTGATATGTCCCGCCCTGTCTTCCTGTTTCAGTTAAAATGACGTCAATACATAGAGTAACGCTGCGTGTTTCTAAGCATTTCAGGGACCTTTAAGATTGTTTTTGGCACTGCAAATCAGCCCCTTGGGAATGTTCAGTTATCCTGAAAGACATTTCTGTGTGACATCTACCAGAAACTGCAGTGTGTGTTTGTGTGTTTTAAGCTCTTTTAAAACAGTTTTTTTTTTTTTTAATGTAAGAATGCATTCTGTATATATGTCCCCAAAACTTGTAGAATTCGAACCGTCTCTTTCTTTGAAGATTTCCATATGTAGGATGAATCTTTCTATACTCTTGTCTCTTTTACTGTCTCTTCTTCCATTTTTCTCCCTCTTTGTCTTTCACTTGTATTCTCTTTCTCCGTCTCATTGTTATTTCCTTTTGGCTCTTTGCAGAGGAAGAGGTGGAAAATTTCAATGTTTCCAGCTTGCAGGAAGAGGTGTTGCGGAACATCGAGGCTGACAGCTTCTGGTGCATGAGCAAGCTCCTGGACGGGATTCAGGTAAATTGATTCCCTATCTGCCAGCGTGCGGGCCTGATACATTCACTCTGTTTGTGTGTGTGTGTGTGTGTGTGTGAGAGAGAGAGAGAGAGAGAGAATGTGTCGCGGCGAGATTCCCCTGCGTGTATGTGCCCCGTCCCGTTTCCTCTCCTTGCCTTTCCTCGCTCAGGCCTGTCAGGAATAAAATCCATGATGAATATTCTCGCTCTGCACCACAGGCAGGACGCAACCTCCTTATCCAAAGGGCCTAGCGGTGCTCGAATTGTCATGGGAAAGCAAAGCGACCCCCCGCCCCACATTCACTTTGTCTTGCCTGCCTCGTCTCTAATTGATTTAAGGCCATAAAACACCCGTGCTGTTTATGCAGCAGAGACGGGGACACACGTTGTGGTATAAAGCTAGGTGTTTGCAGTCCTCATCCCTATATTTTCACAGTGCTCTCCCCCGGAAGACCGCAAAAGATTCCCGTGCGGCCTGGTCTGTCACTTTTTTCCCTCGTTGTTGATAAAAGACTCTGTAACTGGGTGTTTCTGCAACTGTGGGCACTTTTGGCCCTGTGGACTTTGAAATTAAACTCACTTCCAACACATTTTTCACTTAACTGGTTAATTTGTTTTGCATACTAACAGTGTCCAACATTAGGAGAAGAGGAGAATTGGTTGTTTTTGTCCTTTTTTTGGAAACAGTTTAGCAAATATAATTTCCACATTTTTGAGCACTGAAACTCTCTTGTCTTGCTAAGGCTGATTTCAGAATTCTAGAATTTGATTGTTTTGTTCCAAATCTTAGTGGCCTGCATCCGTAGGCAGCATTTTAAAGCACCATTGACAGGCTATCAACATAAAGCCTGTTCCAAATGGTAGGAAACATAATTACGCTGCCTCCTAATATGCCTCATTTTTGCTAAATTCTAACATGACTTTGGTGGAGAAGCCAATCCCTCAATGCATTGTAGTGAGCTTAGTGGGGAGACAAAAAATCCATTATTTCACAATTATTTATTTTACATAAATATAATTTAAATTCTGAAAAGTATTGGTAACATTTAAAGTAATGAAAGACCTTTTGTTGTTGTTGTTTTTATCTAAAATGTGTGTTATGTATTGTTTATATGCGTTGTTTATCTTACGTTTATAAGATAAAGGTAAATAGTATATTTTGTATAATGTGCATTTGCTGCTTTTTCAAAGTCTTCCAAATTGGTCACTTATGAGTTACCTTTCAGTTAAGGATGCTATCTTAAGGCTCCAATATACTTCAAGTGAAATCAAAAAATGAACCAAAATGAGTTGAAAAATATCGGCACACTAGATATCGGCAAAAATCCAATATTGTGCATCCCTACTGCCATCAGCATTCAAGATCGCAGATACCCGCACTGCAAAATCAAGAAAACGAGCACCAGGAAGCAGTGAGTGTACATCCTATCTTTAGCTGAGGTATCGCATATGTGCCTGACAATGTAGTCTCCGATAATCACAGCACCTCATTCTGTCTCATCTTCGGGGGCGAAGCAGTTTTGGGTGGAGATCTCAAAGGCCTGAAGATTTTAACATTTGAAAATTGAAAGTCAGGGTCTTGGAAAAGTAGCAAAAAAAAAAGGCTAATGAAGGTAAAAAATATATATATTCTGAAGACAGTCTTAATATGACCGTCATATAACAAAAGTGAGGAGAAAAAAAGGAAACTTGTTAGGCTGCAGTTACACTGGCACAAAAAAATCTGATTTTTTTGCTCACATCTGACACAGATCTGAATTTGTTGCACACATATAAAAATAGAAAATCGCACGAGATCCGAATTTTTCACATCCGATCTAAGCCACTTCCAAATGTAGATTTTAATCGGATACATATCCGATATCTGGACATCCGACCTAACCACACACATATCTGAATCCCCGCAGAACTCCCAATGCGAAGGCTACATGTTTGCCAGACGTGTATGCGCTCGCATTTTATTTAGATGGAAACTTTATGTAGGCTAGGTAAGAAATTGCACATTCAGGAGCTGGTTTTCAACCCCTGCACCGTGAATTTTATAAATACAACAGCTTCGCTAAAGCTACATTATATTTCTTAGCAATGACGTGATAACTTTCACTTGTTCGCAAGCTTCACGCTCTCTCTCGCACTTTATCTCTTATTAATTCTTTCGAATTAATTTAAATATCATCTTGGCACTACTTTATTTCACTAAAGAATTCCACCTCTAACGAGCTGTAGATAAAATAGCCTAACAAATGAAAATTACCATTATTTTCCATTATTTATCAATTCAGGCATATTTTGAGCTGCAAAACATCCATGACAGCCGTTGTCCATGCTGACAAATAATAATGGCCACTCGACGTGAACTATATAAATAATTTTAATAGCACGGCCATTCAAAACCCGAGGGTCTACCATGTGCATAGTATAGCGATCATTGACTAGGGATGGGCGATATGGGCTTAAAAATATATCACGATACTTTCTGAAGCCCAAGATCCCTGACCTCGGCCTTTATGAAAGACAAGATCTACCGATTGAAGAATTGATAGAAAAAGACATCCCAGATTGTACTTCAAATTTGAGGCCTTTTACTTAGTATTTTAATTAGTGATGTGCTGATCATAGCTGATTCAGAATTCAGATTTTCTTTTCTTTCTTTTTTTCCCCTGTAAAAATTGCATTCCGGGGGTAAAATACAAGTTTTTCGGTGGGGATCTTCAAGTAAAATTCACATTCCAGGGACTAAATATCACGTTATTGGGGACTGAGGAAACCTGAAGACAATAAACATGGATTGCACAAAATATATGGTATCTGTGTTCTTCAAGCAATCTTGGGTATTTTTTATAAGGATAAAGTATATTTATAATGCAATGCTAATCGACATAGCCTTTATCACTGTATATAATGCTATAAAATAGTATGATTTCTGCCTTATTCTGTGATACGAAACCACGCCTGATCACAAAAATAAGTTATTTCAAACACTCGACTATGTTATGAAGTTAATATGGAGAAAAAGCATGTCAATAATAATATCTTTGTTGGACAACAGGTTTGTAAACGACTCATACACATGTAAAACTGTGTCGCACACGTGCTACTGTAGTACATTTACTCAAGGCACAGACCAATTTTTGTCGCACTATACAGCCCTATCCATACCTGTTCCAGATTGTAGAAGGAGCTGCTCAAGTTCACGTCCGTCGTCCTTCACGTCACTCCACACAGTCACACACAGAAATATGTCAACAACTAGACTTTATCGTTATTATCGCGGGAAGAAGAATTCTTATCGTGTGGAGATTTTTTTACCGGAATATCGCAAACGATAAGATATTGCCCATCCCTATCATTGGCTACCATTTTGGACAGGAATTATGTAAACCGATATCGGATACCGGATACCGTGTCTAAAGTGACTGTAAACAGACGGGCCAAAAAAATCGGATATGGACAAAAGATCGGATCTTGCAGTGTAAATGTGGCCTTAGTTTTCATAAAATTCAACCCTTGAGACACAAAAGGCCCACAGTTGAAGAAACACCCAATTACAGTGACGTGTTTAAAGTGCGTATAGACAGAAATGTACTCTCACGCATTGGCTTTAGACGATTGTCTCTTCACACATAAAAAAGCATTTGCATGCAGCGGATCAACCCTCCTCACTGGTATTAGATTGAAATGCTCTCCAGGCCCTCCAAAGCTTTTGTGGTATTTTGTCTCTAATTACTGCTGTAATTTGTGTGTACAAAGCAGATTCTCTTAGGTGCTAATGATTTTTCTCCACCCTTTGTTTTCCTTACACCTTCGCACCATGGCAGCTGATAGCTCTGAACACTTGCTCGCAAGTTGTTAGCGTCAGCAGCGCCATGCTCTCTGCGTGTGCGTGTCGGTGTTTTTGAGTGGTTGTTAACTCGGAGTGTAGTTTTAGTGTGATTTTATAGTCTCAGCCGTGCATAATTGTGTTCGGGTCTCAGGAGAGCGCTTGCATTTAGAAGCGTAGGGTAGAAAAAGTTGTTAATTACAAGTATTGTATTTCCCTGCTGTGTTTGACAATAGAGAGTGATATTGTTGCTTTTGTAATGTATAATTATTTTTCAGATGGCACTTTATGATGTATATTAAGGAATAGGTTTCTGTTTATACGTTTCTGTGGCATATTGATGATAACCACAGATAATAGTTTCTCAGTTTGTAAAAAACACAGATTGCATTTACTGTAATGCATTTCCAAACGTGGCTAGTTAGGTGTTCTTCTGTGCGCAAGTACTCGAGCTGTGAAGTTGTACGATTAGGAGTTTTAGTGGTTTAGGGATTATTGTTCTATTCAGATAAAGTTTTGGTTTTGCAGTTATTCCTGTTATAGTGGTCCTTGTGATTTTAGTGCACTAGTATCATGTTACCAAAATGTTTTATTGATTTTAGTATTGTGGCTGTACTTTCAAAATGTATGTAACCTTTTTTTAATGCTTAACATCCCATATTTACGGTGCCTGTAAAGGTGACATGTTCGGTTTTTATATAGTTTTGTCGTGGCCACGACATGATAACTTGTGGGAACGTGATAATATGTGGTGGCCACGAGATGTTAATTTGAGGGAACGTCATCCTTATGTCGTGGCCTCAAGATGCTATGTTGAGGGAACGACATTTTTCTCGTGGCCACAAGTGTAATGTGTAAACAAACCTGCGTGACCATAGCAACCCAGGGTTATCAAAAATAGATAAAACATTGTTATTAACATTAAACATTTAATTTAATATTTGTATATTATTATTATTTTTATTATTACATTAACTTATTAGGGCTATATTTTTATATGTATTGTTATATATGCTTATTTCCCATTTCAATTTGTGTATCGCTTTACCTAGTTAACGTTTTGTATAATTATGCTTGTATTTGTTAGCCTACCATATATTTTGTAAATAAACGCCTGACAATTATGCCAATAAAGTTTTGACTTTATGATTGTATTTATGTCCATGTGTGATGATAAATGA